GCGCTGATTGGCCTGATTTACTCAATAATTACTCCTTTATTATAAATAATAGAAAAAAATGGTTCAGGACTTTTCGACTCAGTTTTACTTCTTCTACCTGCCTACGAGAGATTGTACGGCAATTCTGGGACACCCAGTATATACATATATATACATGTAACGAATTCTACTTGTAAATTTTTACAAGTATTTTTTGAATTGAAATCTCAATTCTTAAAATCATACGGGATGCTGGATTTGCATCTCACATATGAAAAACCCCGGATACCCCCCTAACTAATTTTAAAATATTGCGAAAAAAATCCTCCTCGGCCAGGAGTCGAACCTGGAATCTCCGGCTTTCCGTGCCATCCGTTTTTTCGCAATATTTTAAAATTAGTTAGGGGGGTATCCGGGGTTTTTCATATGTGAGATGCAAATCCAGCATCCCGTATGATTTTAAGAATTGAGATTTCAATTCAAAAAATACTTGTAAAAATTTACAAGTAGAATTCGTTACATGTATATATATGTACACGCACAGTTTCCGCACAAACATCCTGCGAATGGCTCGTATCGGTCTTATATATTTCCTGTTGACAATTTCACGAGCGTTAAGTCTTTGCGAGAGATTAATTTGCAGCGTGTGCTCTTAGATGAATTGAGCAGGGAGGAGGACGTGCTGGAGTGGCTGGTGGCGAACAAGAGCACGGGGGACGAAGAGGACGTAATCGAGGACGTCACCTCCAAGACGTTGAACACCCTGATCGGAAACATCGACAATCTGGTCGTTCTGTTCTGTTCGCATCTTTTTTTTCGCATCTCTCTTTCTTTCTTTTTTTCTTTTTTTTTTTTTCTTTTCAACTCGGCCTCGCGCGCCTAGCTCTCGTCTCGTGCTTACGCGACCTCGTGCTTACAGACGATCACGGTGACGAGGATTCTATGCAGGTCCTGAACGAGTTGGAGAAGATCGACGACGACTGCGACAAACACGGGATTCAATTCGTCAAGATCGACGACGAGAAGGCGGCGGAGGAATTCGGAATCGACAATCTACCCGCGATCGTCTATTTCGAGAGGCAGATCCCGAATGTTTATGACGGTGGGTAGGTGAAATCACGCAGAAGAAACGAAATATTAACGATCCAAATCCAAAAATAATCGTAAGAAGAAAATACGTATAAATATGTCACGCGGAACGAAGAGCTAAATAAATTTTAAACGGAACAAAACTTTTTTAAAGTAAAGAATCTAAAGGCTCCGAAAGTTACTAACTTCAGAAATATATATATCAATGGTCATGAGAGCCTAAACCAGGATGTTGTGTGGGAATAAGCGTGTATATACATATATATGTATATATGTTCACATGTAAATTTTACATGTGATTTTTTGAATTGAAATTTCAATTCTAAAAATCATATAGGATGCTTGGTTTGCATCTCATATATGAAGGACCCCGTATACCCCCCGAGATTAAATTAAAATACAGGGTCCGCCACTTAAATCCGGACAAATTTGAATTTGACATTCCCATCATATTAGAATGCAGCAGTAGGTGCCATATAACCTAAAGATAGGTTAGAGACGTCGATAAGA